AGGGAAAATACTGAGTTTAGGTATTAAAAATGAGGGCTTCTAAAGAAATAATCTATTTCAAAAAGCAATATTCGGACAGCTTTGGTTTCTAACTCCATGGGGGGAATCCATTCACCATTCCTAAGAGTCCCATGATAGGTAACTATCAAAAGCAAGCCAGTTTGCCAGCAGGCTGACACGTCATCTATATGGATCCATGACTTCACTGAAACCTTTAGACATCCCCTCAAAACTGCCATGTTGCTAACCGAAAGTGTTTGTGGCAAATGGAACAACAGCAATAGCCAAAGCTGGAAAAATTTTTAAGTATCTGTCAAATATTTTGTTATTCTCTACTCTCCCTTTGCCATCTTTGGCTATTGCTGCTCTTATGCTCTCTGCTCCCTTCACTCGTACAAAGTGGCAGTTTAAAACACTGTGCTGGTTTAGGCTGAAGTAGAGTTAACTTTCTTCCCAGTGGCTAGTATGGAGCTATGTTTTGGATTTGTGCAGAACACAGAGTTGATAATGCAGAGATGTTTTTGTTGTTGCTGAGCAGAGCTCACACAGAGCCAAGGCCTTTGCTGCTTTCTGTACTGCCACACTGGCAAGGGAGCTGGGGATGCATGGGAGATTGGGAGGAGACACAGCTGGGACAGGTGACCCAAACTGACCCAAGGGATATTCCATACCATAGGACATCATGCTCAGTATATAAGGTGGGAGGAAGAAGGAGGAAGGAGGGACATCTGGAGTGATGGTGTTTGTCTTCCCAAGGAACAGTTATGCGTGATGGGGCCTACTATCCTAGAGATGGCTGAACACCTCCTGCCTGTGGGAAGCAGCGAATTAATTCCTTGTTTTGCTTTGCTTGTGTGTGCAGCTTTTGCTTTCTCTATTAAACTGTCTTTATCTCAACCTATGAGTTTTTCTAGCTTTTACCCTTCTGAGTCTCTCCCCATCCCGTTGGTGGGGGAGTGTGTGAGTGGCTGCGTGGTTCTTGGTGGCTGCTGGGGTTACACCACAACAAACATAAACAAAACACACCTGAAAAAACATTTTCTATATGCGTGTATATATATATATGTATATATATATATGCATGTCTGTCTGGAGCAGCAATTAGCCTGACCCACTGAGCCCACCCATATTCAAGCTCAAGTACTTTCCCCCCTCCAGGGAAGGGTGACAGGAAAGGGAAGGACTGGGCTGGCTTACCACGTGCTCACTGACGTCGGTGTTGTTGCACACCATCTGCTGATTTTGGTAATATTCTAGCTGCCTCTCTGCCAGATCCACGCGCTGCAACAGGTTCTCAATGAAATGCTGGAGCCTGGCTTTTCCCCGCAATTCTTTCTCTGCTGCTTCCTCCAGGAAGTGGTTGAAAGTAACAACTTCTCTGCAAGATGGAAACATTGCAAAAAGGGCACATTTCAGTAACACAAGGGCCCTGGTCTCACTGCTGTCAAAAAACTGTTTATACTTCTGCTTTTCACGGCATTAGCCCATGGTAGCTAATTACTGTCCTTCACCCCTACTAACAGATTTCAACAATTATGGGGAATAGATTTTTGTGGGCAAGGTGTAGATCTGGAAACCTGAATGCTGAATTTCAGTTTATGAGCAGTGGGTTTGGGATGGGTTTTTTTCACATTATTAGGTCTCTTGCAAATAGTCTTTAGTGGTCCCTCTACAACTCCCTGAAAGGAGGCTGGAGTCAGGTGGGGGTCAGTCCCTTCTCCCAGGAAACCAGCAGCAGCACAAGAGGGCACAGACCTCTGCCAGGCTCTGCCAGGAGAGGCTGGATATTAGGAAGAGATTTTTTCCAGAGAGAGTAATCAGGCATTGGAATGTGCTGCCCAGGGAGGTGGTAGATTCAGCGTCCCTGGAGGTTCTCCAGATGAGACTGGATGTGGCACTTAGTTCGGTTCTCGAGTAACCACGGTAGGGTTAGACTTGATGATCTTGGAGGTCTTTTCCAACTCGGTTGATTCTATGATTCTATGATAAGTGTCATTAAGCATCACCTCTTGAGGTATCTGGAGACAGCTCTTATCTGCTTTCTTTTTTTCACTTAACTATGAGAACATCAGCCCTGAAACATGAAGACAAACTGATGAACCCCCAAATTCACCTTCTCGTTTCATCACAGTCTCACAATGGTATTTAATGTTGCTGCTGGGGTGGGTCCTACCTTAAAAGAGCTAATGTGGGCATTAAACTTCATTTTGGCTGCAATCGTGCCAGCATGTCAAAGTGCAATGTTATGATCTGGAACTAGTGGGAGATTAACAGATAATCTACAGATTACAGACCAAGGAGAATATGTGTGGGAAGAGCAAGTTTTAGGTCAGGTGTTTAGAAATGTGTCTTGTCTGGTGACACAATTGAAAGAAAAAGAGTCTGGGGGGGTTCAAACACCTGGCACTGCTCCTGGGCCTGCCCTGCTGTTATTTACAAGATTTTCCACTTTTTAT